GCAGCCATCCCTGAAAACAAACACAGAAATGAGAGTGCATTAATATGACGACTTAAAGCTAGCAAACGATCAGCTAAGTGACTGAGCAACACGTTCTTTTTACAGCAGTGCTCTGAGTTCAGATTCAATGGGCTGGAACGATACAACTGGCAGCAGACCAAGCAAAGCACCCCAGACGTCCCTCTCCCCAGCAACGCTTTCCAGCTCCTCCTTGTGGACCCTGAGGTGTTCCCATGCCAGACGAGATATGTAATCCCTCCAGCATGTTCTGGGTCTGCCCTGGGGGCTCCTACCAGTGGGACATGCCTGGAACATCTCTAATGTGAGGTGCCCAAGGGACATCCTAATCAGACGCCTGAACCACCTCAACTGACCCCTTTTGCCACAAAGAGCAGCGGCTGTACTCCAAGATTGGTAGAGGAAACACTTGATAGCAACTGGGATTGTTGCACAGCAAATAAGTCAACACATGAATGCACAGGGAGATAGGAGCGAGTGACTCGTCATCATATAGAAATGAGATCACATAAACGTATGAATCGAGATTGATTTTTTCGATTAATATGGACTCACATTTCACTTGTCTGAAACATATCATTTTAGCTCCTTTGATTGTTGTCTGTAATGTGAAAACACACATCTGTAATGTGTGTCCTATTCATAAACTCCTAACACACTGTGGAGCACCTCTCCTCTCAATCAAAGATTTTATCACAGCGGACACTGGAGTCTGAACTGGTTCTGGAGTAGTCTTACATTCTAACATTTGTATCAGAGCTGAGGGCAGAAACAACAGTCCCAGGTTGCCACATTATAACGAAAAGCTACATCATGGCATCATAAAATCATCATCATCATCGTGATCCTCCTACCTGTGTCCAGACAGTCCCAGGATGTACCCTGTGGTGTGACCTTTGACATCAGGACGTGCACTGGGAGTGAGGAAGGAGAGCAGCTCTGCAGCCTCTGAATCACTCAACATCTTCACATCAGTGTCTGATATATGTAAAACGAACCTCGCTGACTGACCTGAAATCAGTAAAACAAAACTCCAAATACAGAGAATAAACTCATATTTGACATCACTGTTAGAAGAGATTGATAAGAACATTAGGGTTGTTTTATAGGCAGAAGTACTCAGATCCATGCTCTGAGTAAAAGTACTGATACAGAAATGTAAAAATACCCCATTAAAAACATTTAAAATCTTACTTTGATAAAAGTACAGAAGCACTGACAATAAATATACTTTAAGTATCAAAAGCAAAAGTGCACGTTCTGTAGAAAAATGTGTGTGAGCAACATCTCACTGATGAATCTCACTGCTCGAGGTGGAGCTATTTTTAAGTCCTTTAATAACAGTTAAGTAGTTTAGTCCAGTGGTCTGCAATCTCAAGGTCAGCACCATCCAAAGGGGTCACCAAATAAATCTGAGAGGTCATCAGATAATTCATTGGAGAGTAAAGAAGAAAAAACAAAGTCCTGCTGCTCGAGTGTGTTTTTATTTTCTGCAATTTCTCTAATCTTTTTTTGTAAAATACTGAATATTTGGTGGAACTGTTATCCATCAATGACATCTGCCAGACGACCCAACTGGAACTGTGATTTTTCTCTAACAGGTCACGAGCCAAAATATTTGGGAACCACCATTTTAATCTTTAACAGTGTGATTTTATTTTATTTTTTCTGGCAAAACTTAACCCTGCTGTCAGGTAACTGCAGTGACATAAAAAGTACAATATGTCTCTGTGAAATGTGGTGGAGTAAAAGTAGAAGTATCTCATCCTGTACTTACATACAGCACATGAATAAACATAGTGACTCTCACAACTGTATGTGGGGAATAAACTAGAGATGCACGATAATATCGGCATCAGTATCAGCCAACAGGCTTTTTGTTGTTTTGCGCAATAAATGAATATTACATACATTGGAGAGTATTGTATTTCATGTTTCCATCTGCTGGTGGGCCGTCACGATAAGAGTATGCATGCATAATATGATGTTAATTCCACAATGGAAGAGACTTAATGATCACTAAAATTAAGTAGGGAAAAAAGTGGATATATCGATATCGGTATTAGTTATTGGTCAATTGAGTTGTTACATAAATCGGCATTAGGGCCTGACCGATTTGAAAATAGTAAAATGTTCTTCCTTCAATTTATATCTTTGTAATGAGTGTTTGAACTATATTTAAGCCATCAAAAGCAGGTAGTCTAAGTCTAAGTCTAAGTCTAAGTCTATTTTGGGGTTTTTTAAATTGAAAAATGTAAAAATTTAATCGGCCGATATATCGGTTATCGGATTTTTTTATTCCATAATAAATCGGAATCAGCATCGGCCCCAAAAAATCCATATCAGTCGGGCCCTAATCGGCATATCAGATATTGGCAAAAAATCCAATATCATGCATCCCTAGAATAAACTCAGATTGAAGATAAAACTATTGGCTTTAAGTTGAGGCAGCCTTCTAACGTTTATGTACTGCTATTTCTAAAATGAAAAGTATCACACACGTGCAGTTTAATGACCTGATGGCACTGTTTACTTGGAGCAAGAAATTATTTATAATAAGTCAGAGTATTTAACTCCATTTTTCCTGGTCATGAAGTGAGCTGTCATAAAAGCATTTTAACAACCAGGATAACAAACTAAAACCTTTCATGCAATATGGGAAAATATCACTAGCCATTCCACATATTACAATCATTCTTATGATTTTAATTATGAGACTTTATTTCACAAGTTTCCAGCAGGTGTAATATTGTATTATGCAGCTACAGAAACTATTAGAAAATGTTAATTAGTGTGATTACTTTGAGTTTCTCTCCATCAAGATTTGCTTTATTCTCTACATTATTATATTCGAGATCTGTGTAATTTAGCTGACTACTGTATCCATCAAGCAGCAAAGCGTTATCTGCTGTTATCTCAACATAAATGCTTAAATAATAGTGTTAATTAAAGAAGACATTGAGTACAGAATAATTTATGTTTATCAAGGCTGCGCTCAGGCTGTTGTTTACTTCAACAAAGAGGCAGTGTGCTGCCATGTTGGATACATGCAATGTTAGCTAAGGTAACTGTTACAGCTAAAGATAATACTATACTACCACATAACTATAAGCTAATTAAAATATTTCACACTCTTTAAACACATGAGGTCAAAGTTTTCTGACAGTCTGATAGAATCGTGAGCTGAACTAACTAAACGCTGAATCATGTTGGAGTCTGTTTGACAAAAATAACCACCTGTAATAAACGTATCTTACCTTTAACGAGCTACAGGACTTATCCAGATATCATGCCGCTGTTTAACTTCTGTTATATTCCTCTTCTAACATGTAAAAACATGTGTACACTCACACTGTGGGTACATGTGGACACTTTTCTTCCGGGTTTTCTTCTTCTCTTACATCTTTTCCGGCAGCTCATACAGCGCTGCGTGGACACCACTGCCCTCTAGTGTTCGCCACATGTGGTGCTCCCTGGTGTTTCATCCACAGCTGGATCTCATTTAAGCTGATAAACATCTTTAAATTTACTTTAAGGACATTTTGTTCTTTCCAAATGAGACAGAAACAAACGTATTAATCCATTGTTTTCTTTTTCTTTGACACCATGTTTACTAACCTACCTGTTCAGTGGTGAAAGCTCTTTTACTTAAATAAAAGCAACACTACTCGTATGAAAAAACTCCGTTACAAGTCCTGCATTCAAAGTCTTGCTTTATAAAAGTACAGAAGTATTAGAATCAAAATATACTTTAAGTACAGTATATAATTATTGATGGGAGAGAGTTCAGTTTGTGTACAGCTGTGGGGTAAAACTGTTCCTCAGTCTGGAGGTGCAGCGTTTCAAGGCCCTGTAGTGTCTTCCAGAGAGCAGCAGTGTGGAGAGGTGGTGAAAGGTGTTAGTAATGTCTTTAACAATCCTGCAGGCTCTGCTGTGACAGCCAGACCTGTAGATGTCTCCTAGGGGGGGCAGGGGGAGTGCAATAATTTATTGTGCTGCAGCTGGAGAACTGCCCTGTCCGCTGCTGAACAGTTCCCATACCAGGCGACCATTTCATCATTGTGACTTCTGACAGCTGTCAATCATCTGTCAGTGAGCTGTTTGGCTGTTATCTGTTTCAGCTCAGTCGATGTGAGGTATTGTCCAATGTGCAGAGGACTGTGGGTCAGATTAGTCAAAAAAACATGCTGGCTTGCAGACTACAAAATCTAACCGGATGCTGTAGAACATCCTGGTATTTTTGGCACACTGCATTTGACATACTATATCTTTTTCTGGCATACTATTTAGTACGGTAGTATGGGGTATTGGAACACACAGTTAGTTTCAGGTGATTATTAATGATTGAAAACATAGTCATGCATATCAAAAACAATACACAATTTTGAATCAGATTTGAAAATGTTTTATGAGGATGATTTTTAGACCTCACTAAAAATCACTAAAGATGCACATGTTTGCATTTTGGTGAGAAGAATTCTTAATCAGAAATCTCCACAGAGCACCTTTAACTTGATATTTACAAAAGAAGTTTCCCTTCATACATAAAGCCATGAACACACACTTGAAAAAAAACGTAATATGTTATGGTGCAGTGGTTAGCACTGTCGCCTCACAGCAACTCAAGGGTGAGGGAGTCCTTCTGTGCAGAGTTTGCATGTTCTCCCCATGTCAGCATGGGTTTTCTCCAGGTACTCCAGCTTCCTCCCACAGTCCCAAGACATGCAGGTTAACTGGTGACTCTAAATTGTCCGTAGGTGTGAATGTGAGTGTGAATGGTTGTCTGTCTCTATGTCAGCCCTGTGATAGTTTGGCGACCTGTCCAGTGTGTACCCTGCCTCTCACCCAGTGTCAGCTGGGACAGGCTCCAGCACCCCTGCAACCCCTAACAGTATAAGAGGTTACAGAAAATGAATGAATGTTTGTTAGACCTCAAGGACACACGACTCTTGTTTGTTCCCAAGAAAACTTCACAAAGCAGCTTTAAACTTCCAAACTACTTTATTGATATACTGGGAAAACAAAACACATCCAAGACATTCACATAGTTTAGTCCCGTCAGCAACAGCTCCCATTCACTCCACGTGTTGCATTGAAATGCTCGTATTGCATATAAACGTTCACGAATGTTGCCTGCACTGCAGCACAGTGTTCGCCTTCAGATTAAAGGCACAGTTCAACTTTTACTGACGGAGCAGTTCAGACAACATCGGGCACTCTTCCTCTCAAACAACCGCCAAATGCTGCTGAAGGTTTCTTTCTTAAATCTTAATTAAAAAAAAGAAGAGTCGACATTTCAAGGTCCAGCGCAGCATTTTAACAAAACATCTCAGTAATAATAACATAGCTGTGGAAAAGACCTGAGCCCAGTGTTGGTGTGATTGTGTCTACAGTCTTCAGACATGCAATTCAGAGAAGTGTTCCTACATGCAGATCCAAGGCTGCTGGGTGAAACACCGCCCCGGGCTCATCCAAAGGATTAAAGGAGGTCAGGCACAGTGAAGCCTGCAGACTGAAGAATGCTGCTGATTCCTTCGCTTCAAAACGCTGAAACATTTTTATTTTTCAACACAAACTATTGTCACATACACATTTCAATAGTACTTCAATACCTTCGCAAAAAGGAAAAAAGAGACTAAAATTCAGCATTTTAATTGAGAAATATGTCAGTAAATATGAAAGATTGGAATAGAGAGAAGAGGAGAAAGAAGAGGAAGAGGAGAGCCTCAGTCTGGATTGTAAACAGATAAAAATATTAATGAATTCATCCACCACGTGCTGCAGTGGATCCCAGTCTATATGATCTGCCTGGAGCCAGATGTTCACTTCCAGACATACAAATCCCGCTACAAGCCAGGCAAGGAGCTTTCAGTGACTCAGCATTTCTTTTCTGGTAGTTCTGGGTTGCCATGGTATCATAGTACTACTGAATGTTTTGGTGCTGAGTGAAGTGTGTTTGCATCGAGGTCTGGATCTCTGCACGGTGACGAGACTCTCATGCTCAAGACCAAGAAAGCCATCAGAAGGCACTGTGGAGTTTGATTGGCAGACAGAGATCAGCTGGTGGCCTCTCTCTGTTGGCTCAGGGCGGGGCAAGTCCATCATCATCAATAATCATCATCATATTCACCATCCTCCTCCTCTGCTTCACTCAGCTTTGTCTTTCCTCTTGGCTGTGAATGGGACTTTGTTGGCGACCGTCGAGCCCACCGTGGAGACGCCGCCGGCAACGGCTGACACCCCGCCCTTCACTAGCCCCACCCCCATCGAGGGCACCGTGGTCACCGCCGACTTGGTGATCTCCAGGCTCTTGCCTCCCACCCAAGCCACACCGCCCACCGCAGCGCCCACAACTCCCTTAGTGACGTTGAAGAGGCCGCCGGTCACTCGCCACATCATGCCGGGGGGAGCCACCACGTGGTCCTTACCAGAATCTGAAAACAAAGCAAACATACATCAAGCATCAATAGAGCTTTTCATTGCTGTTCTGTTGCTATGGGAACAGCTTTGGCCCCTGGTTATTTCCTGTCAGCTTCTGCGTTAACGCAAACTTCAACAGGCAAAACAAAGGAACCATTTAAAATGTTGAAGAATGTCTATATTGTGGTTTCTACTAACATACATGTATCGCTGTATGCAGGAGCTACGCAGAGCCTACGCAAGTGGTCAACTCCAGTGGTTCCCAACTGGTCCGTAGGGGTCCAAAAGTGGGTCGCGAGTCCATTCTGAATGGGCTGTAAGTGACTCGCAACCGTGTCAAGTTTGTTCAGCACACTTTATTCATATAATTTAAAAATATCGATATATGGTGTCTCTGTATTGATACAATATTGCCACACAAAAAAATCTAGATATTATGCTGTATTGATTTTTCCACCCACCCCTAGCATCGCCACAACACGCAAAAATATAATCCTGAGGGTTTTAAGAGTGAAAACAGCTGCCATGTAGCGTTCATTAAGAACCATAGTGCTTCATTTGTCCAACTATCTAACTTTTCACTGGAAGTAAAATTAGTGAACCAGTATACTTCTCGTGGAGCCTATTTAAAGGATACAACATTATTCTACATGTTTCTTTTTGTCAAAAAATTCCACAAAAAGACTCAATTCAACAATGTGTTACTCTGTCAATACTTTCTGACCTCTCTAATCATGTCACTTAACCCTCCTGTTATCGTCAGGTCAAACTGACCTGACTGTTATCGTCAGGTCAAACTGACCTGACGATAACAGGAGGGTTAAAAAAATTTCTCAGTAATTAATTTCCTAAAACAGGTCACTTTAGTTTTTAGCAGATGTTTATCAAAAAGAAGGAAACATATTTGTTGGGGACTATTTTCAGCGGTGGATTAATGCACATTTGATGCTCCAGTGAGTATTTGGGACAGCAGGACAGTGTAAGTGGGATTGAGTCAAAATAAACTACAGCGGGTGTGCTTACATGCACACTGATATTTCTCGATATTCTGGATTTAATATGGGTCATGTAAACAGGATATTCTGTGACGTTATCTGTTCAAATGTAGCATATTCCGATTAAGACATGTGGGATGTGCCGGTATTATTTGGGTTTTAGGTGCATTCTTTGGACATGTATACAGTGCTTTTAAAGCACGCATCTCAGTTGCGTTTTTCACTGCAGTTTGCAACTGCAACATACGGCATCTTGCCTGTTTAAAAAAGGCATGGATGTGCTGTGAACAAACCAACAGCTTCTTAGGCTGGTGTAGAGATGCATGCTCAAAAGGAAAGCCCTCGTCTGGTCAGAAGGAGAAACACATCTACTTTTAAACATTATGAAAAACTTGGATATCAACAGGTTCCTGGATATGCACAAATATCAAAATGATGACCTTTTCAATAAGGTGGTTGGAGGAATGAAGGAGGAAGGTTGTGTTCACACAGTCGAACAAGTTGGCAAATATTAGACAAATATTAAATATCACCAGACCTGTCTGTTGCATTTTTTATATTTGTCGTATTTGCCCCCTGCTGTCTGCGATGCTGAGACATCAGCTGGTTCTGAGGACAGTGATATTGCGACAGATGTCCAAGCTGGTGTAACACACATGAAGCCCTCCTGTGTTACTGATGTCTCACATCTTTTGTAACTCAGGTTAAAGCTTCTGGGAGAAAGTGCCAACATGGTTCCCTCCAGCTCGCTGCTGATGTTGTGAGATTCAGGTGCGAACTGTGCTGAGTTTAACCAGACTCTCGTGAGACACTAGCAGCTCTTTGAGGCTGAATTTAGGCTCAGCAGTGCTTTGAGCTTAATGTCATCGCCAGCATGTTGCTCATAGTAACAATGCAAACATGCTGATGTTTAGCAGGTGTGACGTTTATCTTAGTTTTGCTATTAGCATGGTAACATTTGCTAATTAGCACTAAACACAAAGAATGTAATGTCTGGGCAACATACCTATCTGTACTGAGAAACATTTTTACCAGTCAATCATGTAGATGTTGATATATTTCACTAAATCAGTGAAACTTTGACCATCTAGTGGCGCTACAGGGAAAGTCAGGGGATTGCCAAAGTACTAGGATCCATCCTCTGGACACCATGAATGTCTGAACCGAATTTCATTGCACTCCATCAGATATTTGTTGAGATATTTCAGTTTGGAGCAGCTGAGATGAAACATAGATATTTGAGGGTGTTGTTGATGCCAAAACATAACCAGGAGTGTATCTGGGATTTCTTAACAACCCCCTGACGGTCTGATCTCTACACTTCACCTGGAGGGTAAACTGTCATCAGGACTGATACTGAAAACAGAATTATACCTCATCCATTATCAACAGTGGTGTTTACAAAGAGCAGCAGCAGGGGACTAAACTGTTGCAAAGTGTCTCTGCGTTGGGACACAAATAGCAGGTTGGGGCTGCAGCCGCTCTTACACAAACACACACACTCCCCTGACAAACCAACAGTTTCTGAAATAGCAGCAGGCAACATGTGAGCACAGATTGCACCATATTCCCTGCTGGTGTTTCAGCGTTTAGCCGCAGCCTGGGGAGCTCTCTGCTTACCCTCTGTAGGTTGGCTGTCGGTGGGTTCAGCTTCGTCCGTCGCCAAGCTGGTCCCGGGCTGGGGCTCCGCAGTAACGCTGTTCACATTCTGGAAAACACAGGAAAACCCCCAAGATTACTTTACACTGAATGAATACAGCACCCTTCACAGTGTTACTCAATCTTTATTACTTACAGTACATGACTGGGTATCAAACCTGAATACTTAAGCGTGTGAACAATATGTGTACATAAACTCTCACATACCCACGTTTTGTATGTGACTCTGCACTTTACAGCTTTTGGCACTTCTGGTTAAATATCACATTCATAATCTTATTGACTTCTTTTTTGATAATTTGATTTGATCATAATTTTGCAAATTTTAGACTGTATCTAAATAATTAAGACAATATTTAAAGGGGCACTAAGGAGGGAGCTTCATCAAGTTTGTAAGATAGCCCCCGATGATATCACAAGCTTGTGCTAAATGGCCGCAACGAAGTCTCTTCTTTACGCCATCTTTGGATTTTTACACAGAACCAGACAATGGCGGCATCCTCCTGCTCCAGTGTGTGATTTTAGACAGCATGCTGGCATCATGGAATCAAAAGGAGTGCAACGCGTTTGACATAAAACACGTGTCCGCAGCATTTTCTAAACAATAACAATGGCAAAACATGGCAACACCGATTATCTATTATCTCTGTTATATGGCGGCCGATCTCGTCCTCTGCTCTGATAGTGAGGAGCTCTCAAATCTCATTGTTTTCCCCATTTGTGGACATTTTCAGCCGCAGTACTTCTTCTTTAAGTTAGCTGCTAACTGCTAACAGCTACTTATAGATCACCCATGATGAGTCGCACACATAACATGTCATAACATTTTGGCAGTGCTACTACCTCTGATGCTGCCTTAAAGGTGAGACAACTTTGTCCCCTCATTTTGGGACTTTATGTTTTATAAAGAACGCTGAGGTGGAACAATGGTGTGAATTTCCTGCCTTGAAGAAGCAGGATAAAAGGGACTACAGTGACGTCATCATGGTTATCTCAGTGTAAGCTAAAGAAAACCAATTTACAATTTTTCGTATAGCCTGTCTAACAAACTGGAGGTGTGGCGTTTGAAAGATGTGGCTGTTTCCCGACAGGGTCCTTCTGATGAAAGATACTATCCAGATGCATTGTGGGAAATGTAGGACCAAGTGTTTTTGGAGCTTGATGTGCAATAGGAATAAAAGAAGTAAGCAAATCTCGACCTCTGCTGCACAGAATTTGGCCATTATTTTTTAAACTTGTCTCATGTGAATTCCCAAACAAAACTGAATTACTGGAGTGTCCATTTAACATGTGACCACTGCCGTTTCTTTTGTATAAGTAAAAAAAACCTGTTTATATTTCTCAAGTTAAGGTGTCAAAAAAGCATAACTCTTCCATCAGCATGACACTCATACCTAAACATGTAAAACCAGCCCTGCTTACACATGATGACACCTGTTGGGAGTCACTTTGGTATATGTATACACAGTCTGAACACACATCTGAGTCAGCGCTGTATGTTCAAGATAAACCTCTATTTTAATTACGTCTTAAACATACACTACAGACTGTCACTAAAGTCTCAAAGGGACTCGTTCAGACTGTATTAATGTTGGGTGGAATCTTCTCTTCCTGTTGCTCTGCATGTCAGGTTCTGATTTCATTCGTGATATTCACAGTATAAAACGAGGAAACAATTTCAAACCCTGTCATTCAGCGCAGGAAAATCTATTTATTTCAGCTCAATTACAGATACAAAATCTCTGTCTCGCCGGCTGGAGTCAGAGTCATTCTGAAACATGTAATTATCCAACACATTTATCACACTGTAAAGATGCTGAAATGTGTATCTTATTTATTTCAACCATATCTGTTTGACATAGGATACTATTTCATTATTGCTCTGTATACTTATTTATGTGTGTAGATGTAGATACATTCTTCATTTTACTGAATAATATTCCCTTTGTCTTTTGCTCATGTTTTCCCCCCTTTTTATAATTGCATAAAATATATTTCATAATATAAAAATAATGTGACAATGAATCCAAATGCACAACAAATAAATAAAATGTAGAGATAAGAACAAGAACAAATACCTTCAGGCTCTGCTAAACGACTGGAGTTAAACTGACATGTCTGAATAATCTAATTTATAATTTTCTAGTTTAAATTTTCAATAGTAGTCAAGTGTGTTTTAACATCTGTATGTTTAGAAATATAAAAGGAGGGCAGCCTTTTCAGCTAAATCATTTTATGTTTATAATAATCAAGTTTATTTTGTACTTTTCGTCAGCCAAGAAATTGGGAGTCTTAAAGATGAGTAGTATTTCTATCTTTATTAGTTATATCTTTTTAAATTTTTTTTACAGGTTTCCCCACTGTCTTTTGCTCATGTTTGATGTTACTTGATACAATATAATTTAATAAAATACATGGTTAGACAGGTGGCTGCCTCAGTGAGCAGGAGCAGCAGATCCACCTGACTGATAGCTGTGTCTCTGTACATCAGTGGTCTCGACCTTTTTGACCTCTGACCCTTCAGACCCTTATTACAGATGTGTTTTAGCAACTCCACCATGACTCTTTGATTATTAAACAACACAAAGCGGCTTCAAATCAGTGCATATTTCACATACTTTAAAACAGAAATGCTGTTTTCTATAATATGAATCATGTTGCAAACCACCACCCCACCCCCCTATTTTTTTTCTTGTAAGCTAAAAAAGAGGCCCTTATCCCACAGGTTAGAAACCAGCGCTGCCAGTTATCTGCCAAATGTTGCCACTGTTGACTTTGGAAGCCAAATTTGCTGCAAATTAAATGTTGAAATGGACATTTTTTTTTTAACTGAGGACTTGGCACTGCTGAATCAGAGTTTGTGTAACATTTGCAGGAAGCTGAGACGCCTCGTTTTAATGCAGCTGGATACAAAACTGCACTTTTCAGAGAGGAAGAGGCCACATTTCCTGAAGGTGATACAACTAATAAATTCCGCTCTTATCATCTCCAAACTCCACATCATCACTCCTGAAGCCTGCTGCTGAAAAACTTGCCCTCACTCAGCCTGCATGCTACAAACCCAGCACTCACACGCAGTTTGAGAGACACATTTCCACACACTGTAACATTAATAATAAGGATGCTGGTTGGTCCTTACCTTCACCATTGTTCCCAGTGCTTCTCCCACAAACACACCTGGCAGTGAAACTTGACACAGGAGCAGCTTCTGTTTCCGACACAAACTCAGCTGTAAATAAATGAGTTTAGTTTCCTCAGTGTGAGGAGGCTGAAAGCTGCAGCTGTGACTCTTCTTCGTGGTTTGAACACGTTAATCGATTTAATCTGCAGCTTTCTAACTTCTCCTCTCACACAGATACAGACGGAGCTACGCAGCTCTCTTTTTCACCCTGCTGGTTCTGCCGACGTGGCGCCTTCACCACACACACACATACACGTACACACACAGTCAAACTACACACAGCAACGCACTGGACTTCCGTTTGACGCCTTCAAATTAAAAGACTCTCCAGTGATGAGGTGGACCACTGAAGCTTTTTGGGGCTGATGGAGTAAAAGTGGAGGTAATGAGTTGAACAATGAACCGGGAGTAAATAAAAATGAAGTAACTAAAGCAGAGATGCGTTCGAGTCACATCGCTTGGATTCACAATATTAAAAAGACTTGCAACTCAACTTGGACTTTAACACTTTGTTATAGTTAATGTAGTTTTATTGTTGTTGCTGTTGTTATTGCTGAAGCCTATTGTGTCATGAATATATTCTATTTACTGATTGTGTTTTTTATGCAACAGTGTCTTTTGTCCTGCCCAGGGACCACAGATAACAATTAGCATATGGCTAACTCTGGTGCAGCTGCACTGTCCCTGTTAAATTAAATAAGAACTAATAAAATAAATAAACAATGACTTGTGACTTCACTTGGACTTGAGCCTTTTGATTTGACAATACATGATACTTTCCCCCAAGCAAGGCACATCCAAAGTCCGGCCTGGGGGCCAGTTGTGGCCCACGGACTGATTTTAGACGGCCCTTGGCTAGCTGTTAGAAATATACTATCTATCTATCTATCTATCTATCTATCTATCTATGTTTATTTCTCTCTCTTGCAATGAACTGACTTTTTATTCTGACTTGGAGGCTTGTCTGTCTGATCATTGTCTGAAACTGGTCTTTTCAGTTGGCAAGTGCGTGTCCAGACACAGATCAGGGTTCTGTTTGTCACTGGCCTCCACCCACACCCACTCCTCACTGCCTCACATTTGACTGTTAGAAAGCAAATATTAGTTGGAAGGTGACTATTTGTAGTGGGCCAAAAATGGTGCCAGTTGGAAAGAAAAAAAAAAAAACTATAAAATTACAGTTACTAAATACAGCACAGATTTCTGATGTGCAATTCAGTCATGTTTATTTTGGTATGTATTTTAGTTTTTCAAACAGAAATTGTTTAGTTTAAAATTCATTGTGAATTGGTTTTGAATGTGGTTGTAGTTTTCTTTCTGTATTTTATTTGATATTTTAAATCCATCTGCTGCACCAACCTCGGGGTTGGGCCCCTTCAAAGGGTCATAAGATAAATCTGGAAGGTCATGTACTCTGGGTGGAATTCTTGCTTTGTTTAAAAACATATTGGATAATTGGATATATTGGATATATATAATTTGATAATTTGAAACTTTTTGAGCCTCAAACAGTTACTGAAATTAAACTATCTGAAAAGTTTAAATGGGAAATGTCTCTTTGGTGGATCTACTAACAACTCAGACATCTAAAATGCAACAAGGGGCTCCAACTCGATACCATGTTTTGACAGAGGTTACAAAACAAAAAGGTTGGAAAACACTGGTTTAATCTGTAACAGTATGTTGTATTTGGTAAGATTATTGAATTTTTTTTTTTTTGCTAAATATATTTTTCATGTAAAAGCGTAATCTGACTTAATTTGGGAATCAAGTAATAGCCTATTTCTAGTACAAAATTGCCCTTTAGAAGAGAAGTATTAAGTAGCATAAATTGGAAATACAAGTACATGAGAATAGTACTTAAATACAGTAGTCTACTTTAGAAAATGTAGCCGACTTAGTTGCTTCCCACCACTGAAAACATGATTGAAACAGTTTTAAATTGTAAACCAAGGACATGTCACTTTAATGGCTGGTGTTTGATTTCACAGTAAAAGATGCAACTCTGAGGGTAAAAAAAAAAATCATCTTTGTAACGCATTTTAAGATCATTTATTTGGACTTTTATTGTGAAGACAGGAAGTTACTTGTGGGCGGTTGATGTAGCTCCAGCTCCGGATCCTGCATCACCAGCAGCTCCAACTGGTTGTTTTAGTGTGAAGGAACTGTGTGTACCGCCTGTGTGTGACATGACTGTATGAATGTTTCTGTTGCCGGATGTAGAGTCAAAGGGAGAGGAAGAGGACATGAATGTGCGTGGTACTGCTGAATAATGTATTAAACGAACCCTCACAGAGACTGGCAGGTAAACTGATACTGTACGTGCTGCGCACACACACACACTCACTCACTCACTCCCTCCCTCCCTCCCTCCATGTAGGCCTGTGTAGAGTCCCATATAGATTGAAGCCATAAAGTTAAAGTGCACAGATAAGAGCCAAGGGTCAAGTGCTGCATGGTGATGCTGGCAGCAACTTTCATTCACTCATTACAACAGCGTAAAATAAAGATGTTACCTGTGCCACACAAATATCACGACCTGGTTAGGAAGCCCCACAGTTAAATATGATGTTGGGCCCCTATTGACCCTGAAGGAGGTGGAAAGTAACGAAGTACATTTACTTATGTACTGTACTTAAGTACATTTTTAGGTACTTGTACTTTATTTGAGTGTTTCTCTTATTTTAGTGTCTTTATGCTTCAACTTGACTACATTTATTTGGTTTGGTTACTTTGCACATTCAAATTAATTACAAAAAATATAATCTACAAATAAATAATGATATTATTATGTCAGTAAGGCTTTATTGATCCTCAGGGAAAAATCTACAAACCACTGTATGTAAACTGATATACAGGCCCTGGTTAGTAATCCAGCCTTGACAAACATAGCCTACACACTACAAGCTCCATTAAATCCATAATCAAATATCACACCCACACACCTCATGACACTATTTTTAGGGAAAGGCAGAATGCTGAGTAAAACCACAGGAAGTAGAATTATTCAGATTTTACACTCACACATGCAAATGGTCTTTCTTTCCGTCTTCCTTTCTTTAAAAAAAAAGACAGGTCTTGCCATTCATTCACACAAAGCTGAATAATGTCATCATGATAACGGCAAACAACAGACGAGTGGGGAGCGTAGATATCATTTGAAAGGACCTGACATTTTTATTTTCATGCAGCCCAGTTCAGTATAACTTGATCTGCAGTACTCACTAGAAAACTTTAAACTTACTATTCACTGCTTACTTTATGTGCAAACCTTTTTTTTCGCCAAATTTTTAAATGACACCTAGAATAAAGTAATTTTGATGAAATATAACTCTTCTAGTATTTTAAGCTCAGATTTCTTTTTTTTAAGATTGATGGAAGCATTTGTCCATCATGATATGTTCAAGGACCATTGATAATTTATGTTTTTACAGTTTCTGGCTATGATAAATAGTGGTTTTTATTTTCTTTAAAGAAAACGTGTGCATGATTTTTTTAATTAGTGTTAGAATGAATACAATCATTTTAATTTGTAACCCCCAAAACCAAATGAAAACATTATTTGACATGCCTCCCCCTTTTGCAGCACCCCCTCAATCCTCATCAATGACAAACAGCAGTCACATCCCACCTTTAGGTGGCGGTAATGCAGATTAACGGGAGAAGAAGAAGACTAGGGTCGTTGTCATTTTGATTCAGGCACATCTGATGACGTATTGTTTGGGGTCCTTACTGGAGGCTCGGCGCCAGTCTCTCCGGCGGTCGCAGCTGAAGTAAATACGAGTGAATTTTAGTGAATTAATCTATTAAATCAAGTCGTTAAGGAAACTTGGATTCCCACTTGTCAAACCATGAATCTAGAACTGCTCGGTAATTAACATTTTTTGTCTTTGTTTTTAATAAACCGGACTTTCCGTACATCGGTAACATTATGTCCGTTACTTGTTATGGTTAGCATTGTACGTTAGCCTAGCATGTTGACAACAGCCGATATGAATCAAATAATTATAATTAAAAAGTATCAGGGTCGCATTGTGAACTTCTTTTAAATGTTTTACTTTGAATGTATCACTTGAGTACAGTTAAAATCGGTCTGCAAATGTTGGTTATATTGAAGGAAGCAGACATAGTAATGTTAGCTGTGGCTAACGTTAGCCTCGATACATTAGCTACACACTATATGAATCACATATTTCCTTATGGGACAGTACAGACCGTTATTATACGTTGGTGTACGTGTTGTTTCTTTATATATACATTCCACCAAGGCCACAAAGCTCCTAACGTTATGAGGATGACAGGGATAAATAAACTATAACGTTAACTTACACTGATGGTCCACATGACAGGGAGTAACTTCACTGATCAGACAAATGATGAGCTATGAAAAATAATGATGCTAAATGGAGAAAAATACACTGAAATTGTAAGATTCCTGTTTTCACAAATAGAATGAAGTCTTTTTAAAACATTTAACGTTAATCTGCTTATCTAGCTCAGGTTTGATAACTCTAAATAAAGTGTTATTTAAAATCGACATCTTATTTCTTATATTTGTTTTCAGAAATGTCTAAATCTGGGTTTTAAACAGTCAGTGTAGCTGTACTCTTAATCTAGTCCCAAGTTGATAAGTCCAGGCACTGTGTTGTTTTCTTAGTTGAGATAAGACAGATCTAGGTAAAACCAAAACAAGTTACATATGTGAGAACTGATTTTATACCAAGTTAGGGCTGTTACAACGATGTATAGCACCCGATCTCACAGTGAAATAATTGGGAATCAGCTGAGAAATACGGTCTCTAACATTTCTCTAAATCATCTCCTTATTGCAAATCTGCAGGCAACTTCAGACTTGTGAAGTTGTAGTTTTTTTTTTGGCAGGAAAATATTAGAATCTTTGTGGAAATTTATGCCATTAAAAAACGCAAGTATTTGTACATCTGCAGCGTAGTTATAATTTTTCTCCTGAGGTTATTGGCTGATCTTCTGTCACTGCTGTTGTATTAACTGGAAATGAGTATACACACATTTCCTGTGTCTTTCTTCTTATATTTGACTTTGCTCTAGGATAAGTTTGAAGTTATCTTTAAGTTATTCTTCTATGTAAATATTAGGCAAACATTGGTTTTTTTTATGTAATGTCCATATATTTCTTTCTCTTGAGTTACTGGCTCAAACTTTGGATACAACTTCAAGGTTTCTCGCAGTTTACTAGGGGTGGGGTGTTTTTTTT